TTTATTAATGGTTACAAAGTGGATCCCTGGTCGCAAACATCCTGAAAGTTCACGTTACATAGAAGAAGAAATAATCAACTACAATTAAAAATAGTTTCTCTTTCTTCAGCCCCAATATGGAAGCTTCGACTCTAACACAGGAGAAGAAAAGTCATGTCGTTCTTGTTAATTTAGCCTCCAATCACACGGATTCCGAGGTTGCAAACTTCTTTAATATCACAAGGAACATCGTATTAAAGATAATAAAAAAAAACGCCAGGATTCTTGCAAGAATGTTCCTTCAGTGGTAGAAAAGATAAAAAAAACATTATCGATGGTCAGACATTGTTCGACCAGCAACTCTAGGGTATCATATACTCGGAAAATCACGTGTCAAAGTCAACAATTAGAAGTGTGTTGCATGAAAACATCCGATCTCATACTATGTCATGAGGAGAATGCAACTTATAGCCAATCGTACGCGAGCAACCCATGTAGTTCGGTGGAAGCACTCGCTAAACAATACCACAAACGACCACGCGAACACGCGCTATTAGAAAATGATGAAACCTAGATAGCTCAAAAATCAAACACTTTGGTAAAAGCTAATGAATACCTAGATTCTCCAGTCTTTGTGTAAATATATATATATATATATATATATATATATATATATATATATATATATATATATATATATATAGGAAACCTGAAAAAAATGGCCTTCTTCGTTTAATATTTGTTTGAACTTCGTACCGAACCCTTTATTTAGTCTACGTGGCTAGATTGTGCTAATTCCACGTGCCATACATTTTCTGGGTATCTCAGTTTCATTTCATACGTTTCAGTTTCATGCCATGGAATTTCTGGATATCTCAGTTTTTGTTCGAAATTCCAAAGTATATCACTTCAAAAAGGCCGGAGCCTTCAACGGTCAAAACGTCATTAATATGGCAATAAAAATGACAACAGTCCGAACGGTGTAAATAGTGTAAATAGATACAATATCTAATTTCAGAAATATAGACAGACTAGCAGTAGAGTCTGGCGTTGCCCTGGAATGTAACAGTAAAAGATAGATCAAGTATCGACCATCATAAAGACTGCAAAATAAAATTGATAAAGATTATTGTTTAAGGTTGACGGACACGCATGTCTTAATTAGTTATTTTTTTTGTTTTGTTTTTTTTTTTTTTACGAATTGGTCAAACCCAAACTCAAACAAAAACATTTTTTCAATCGTTATGAGTCTATCGATTGAATAGAATTTTATTATAAACAATTGTCTTGTAAATGGAATCTTTAAAGCATTCTGAATGTAAAAATAAAGAAAAAAGTGTGCAAGACAATAAGAAACACTACCTGCCAAAAAAAAGTGAAGTTTTGTTGAAATCGGTTGAAAAATGTAGGAAATACGAGCCCATATGTAAACGAACACAGACACACACACACACAAACAACCTGGGTTTTATAATAAGTATAACTCGATATGAGATGTCCCCCTTTCATTCTCGCGATGCCTCTTAATCGTGTTTTCAAATTGATTTTGTGCAAAAACAATTGTGTTTTTCCAATTTTTGGTGCTGTCAGAACCACCGCAAGGTAATTTTACGTAGTCCTGTGAAGTCTTGTTGAAATCGGTTGAAAAATGTAGGAAATCCGATCCAATATATAAACGTACACACACACACACACAACCTGGGTTTTATAATAAGTATGATGATGAAGAAATGTACAACTTTGATTATTGTTAAATGATTATTTTATGCACTTTGCTTGGAGAGAGAAATGTGGTATATGACTATTTTATATAATACTGATTTTTTCTAGTATTTTGCCTTTTTTTGTGGTGAAGTTTTTTTCTAGTAACCACAAAGTTGAATGATTTTATTTCAGCTTTTGTTCGAGCCGAGGAAATTCATATGTTCTCGTGCATAAATGAACGAGGCGTCTACTCAAATATGGTTATCCAGTAAAAGTAAGTTTTAAGTAAAAAAAAAAAAATCAGCCGGATGAATAAATAAATAAAAATCATCACTTCTTTAAAAAATGCTTTGTTTACATTACAATACCAAACTGAGAAGCCATGAAGGTTTCGAGAGCCTGAGAAAGATTTACATTTATAAGGCACTATTCAACCGTGACTGGTCGTCGAAACACTGCGTAGCTGAGTCGGTCTAAAGCACGGAGAAATAAAATAAAATGTTTCTCTTGCCAAAGGGGGTGCAGGTTCGAATCTTGCCGGAGAGCACACGTTTTTCTTTAAGACTTCTTGAAAAGTCTGGTTGGTAGGCAAAGATAAATAAATATACAGTTTAATAAATAAGCTGGGCGCCGACACAAATATATGGATTAAAAATATTAAGTTATATATATATATATATATATATATCGGTTTTTCTAAATTTAACAAACTGTCTGTTTAACTTTTATTGTATTTTAGATTAATATATATTATATCCAATCAGAATTATGGATATAACGGTTAAGTTAATATTTCCTTCCTTTTTTTAAGTACTTCTGAGATTTTTATTCATCCTCAAGAACCAGACGTTGCCAGTATCGCAGACAAGATTTTTTTAACTGCATCCAGGTATTTTTGGAACGTTAGAATTCAGATTACTTTATATTCATATGTGATTGTCAAGCGTAAAACAGTTTCACAGAACTCGACATACCAGAAAAAATATTAAATATTCAACGTGCTATTATTTTAAACGCATATTAATTTTTTTTCATACAGACTTAAATAAACAGAGCTTATCGGCTGAATTTAACAAAACCTGTTTAAATGAATTCTTACTGCTAAAATATATCATATATATATATATATACATTATAGTTTATGAGCATTACGAATCCTCACACAGAACAGCAAGATAAAGTTCAACAAACGTAAGAATATAGACAGAACTTAGAATTAGATAGCCATAAATATTCTTTCTTTTTATGTGCCATGTCCTTTCAGGACGTAGGTGATCATGGCTCTCCACATCTCTCTATCCCTATCTATCTCAACGAGTTCCTTTTCTCTGCTCCCTACCCCAGACCACGTTCTGTCATCCACTTGCTTAAGCCCGCCAGGTATGTCACGCGTTGTTTTCCCTTGTGTCTCTTTCCTTCTATTCGACCCGTGAGTATCAGATTCTCCAGGCCCTCCTTCCTCATTATATATCCCAGAAATTTCAGCTGCCTCTTCCTGATATTAAGTATAAGCTTCCTCCTTGTTTGCAACCTCTCTAAGACCTCATCGTTGTCCACGTGCTTGGTCCATGATATCATTAGCATCCTTCTGTTGAAGCACATCTCTGTCGCTTCGAGTTTTTTTTTTTTTTTTTTTTTTCATCTTTGAAATTCGGTGCCGGTAAAAAAAGGGCAGTAACAGCTCAGTATTCTTTTCTTTGTTACCAAAGAAATCCTCCAGTTTCGCAATATTCTGCTCAGCTTTTGGAATGTGTCCTTGGCCATCCCAACCCGTTTACGGATCTTAGTGTCGCATTCTGTGAAAACAATTCTCAGATATTTAAACTTCCGCGTTGAAAGTTACAATGAACGTATAGACAGAACAAATAAGTGACAGAACGTAAAGTTACCAAGAAGGAACAAGTTAATTATGATAAGCACACACACACACACATACACACACACACATATATATATATATATATATATATATATAAAAGAAAGAGATTGTAGTGGTTCCAACGAGAGAAAAGTATGTATATTAAAGAAGAGAGGTGCCGCTAACGTTTTTGGTTATAATGTGGATTTATTTAGAAAAAATATTATGCTTTGTTTTACATAATTATACGACACGTGTTTCTAGTCTCGCGACCGTCTTCAGGTAAATCCGACGGATTGCCAACACACAAACAGAGAATGTCTCATATCGAGAATATTTCACATTGAACATGAAGAAAAATTAATTATTTTTAATAATATGTAGAAATCTCCACTTTTACCTGAAGACGGTCGCGAGACCAGAAACACGTGTCGTAAAATTATGTAAAAACAAAGCATAATATTTTTCTAAATAAACCACATTACAAACCGAAAAAACGTTAGCGGCACCTATTCTTTTTTAATATATATATATATATATATATATATATATATATATATATATATATATATATATATATACTAGTAGTTGCCGGGAATATAACAGTAAGAGATAGATCAAGTATCCACCATCATAAAGACTGAAAAATAAAATTGACAAAGATTATTGTTTAGGTTGACGGACACGCATGTCTTAATTAGTTTTTTTTTTTTACGAATTGGTCAAAACCAAACTCAAACAAAAACATTGTTTTCAATCGTTATGAGTCTACTGATTGAATAGAATAATTTTATAAACAATTGTCTTGTAAATGGAATTTTTAAAGCATTCTGAATGTAAAATAAAGTGTGCAAGACAATAAGAAACACTACCTGTTAAAAAAAAAAAAAGTGAAGTTTTTTGAAATCGGTTGAAAATGTAGGTAGCCTTTCTGTAATCTTTTAGTTTTACAATTTATGATTTTACTTATTGAATACAGTAAAAAAAAATTGCATATTTTGCTTGTGGTGATTCATAATTAGAATTCTGATTTGAATATATTTTCCACTCGTTGTTTCTAATATAAAAAATATTAACTTTATTTGGGTTTATTAATTATGATCTAACAAATCTTATTCATTTTGTAGCCTTTCTGTAATAATAATCTTTTACAATTTATGATTTTTACTTATTGAATACAGTAAAAAAATTGGACACCATGTGTATTTAAAGTAGTTTCCCGTTCCGGTTGTTATTTTTAGTTAGGACTTGTGTATGTTTAGATTTCATTATCTTTTGTGAAGAAAAGGAAAGAGGAAGAGAGAAGGGGTTACTTACGGACGGGTTGCTTCAGCCTCGGGGGAATTGTGTCCAGCGAAACTGGAACCAAATGACCAACTGATATTTATGGTCTTGGTCGGAGGAGGATTGTGGGAAGCAGTTAGCCTCCTTATAAAAACCCTCCTCTGTATTCTGATAGACCTATTTTCTCTATCAGCCGACACGTGACTGGTTATTTGTCGTGCTGAAGGATTATTTCTTTTCTGTTACTCGACCTAGTTGGAGCAGGTCGCAAGAGGAGGATTCCTTTTGCAACCCTTACCAGGCTGTCGCTGCTCTCTTCTGGGTTTTCCCTACTTTACTGTGTCGAAAGTTTTTTTTTTCCGAAAAATTGCAAAAGGACTTCTACAGAAATTTGTTTTTTCTTTTTGTTGTTAACGGCATTTCTTTAAAAAGGAAAAAAAATGGATGTTACTAAAGAACAGATCCTTCATAGGTTGACTGTTCTTAAAATCAAAATCGAGGAACGACTGAAGTTGTGTCGTGGAGACAGAGTAACGCCTCATGTTTTCTCTGTCTTCCGAAAGGATATTCTGCAATACATCTTCGAAATGGAGACTTGTATCACAAAAAATTAGAGCTGGGCTCCTTCCTCGAGACGGACTTGCTTTGAGACCGAAGCTGAATGGGCGCCTCGACTAATGGAGTACCACCGAGAACTGGGCGATCTGGATGGTTCATTTTCTCCCAGTTCCTGCTTGGATCCTGTTTCCCAGTCTTTTGGGGTTCCGTCAACACCTGGAAGAAGTTCGGCTTCCTTTGTTGTCAAACCTCCGCAAATACAAATAACGGGGCCCACCTTTAGCGGACTTGAGATGGCTGACGACCACATGAGTTTCCGGAATTTTTTGACGAGATTCGAAACTGTGTGGTTGGCATGGCCAATGACTCTGAAAGATTAAACTTTCTGAAATGCTCCCTCTCCGACAGAGCTTTTAAGACTGATTAACCATTTGAGTTGCACGGATGCCAACTATCAGCGTGCTCTTTCGGTGTTAAAGAGGGAGTATTTGGACATTGATGAGATAATCGACCAGATATTTCAAGACATTCTAAAAAGGACATCTGCTGCTCTGGTCTGGGTGAATTTATCTCCAGGACTGCTTCTCTCTTGGAGGAGCTAGGGAATTCTTTTTCTTGCGACTTTTCGGTGGACGATTCTGGTGGAGCTCGCCCTAATGGCCAAGATTCTTTTTCAGAAATTTCCCAAAAGAATTGAAGGGGAAATGATAGGACTAACAGGTAAACGAATACCATCATTGTCTGCCATATTGGAACTTACAAGTGAGGCAGTCAAACGATTACGGGTTAAGGGAAGCGCGTCTGCTGCTTCTACATTCACCACTGGCCAGGGTTCTTCTCAAAAAACCGCACGGAGGGCCACTGTTACTTCTTCCTTTCATGTGGATTCCAACAACCTGACTTCTGCTGGTTATTCCCGTAGCTTGCCCCCATCCTATTGGTCACTTTTTCAATGGAGAAAAATGGTGTCAGTTAATTGCCTTTTGGACACTGGTAGTGGGCGTTCGTACTTGTCTGCTGATGTACTGAGGGACTTGGGTTCAGTTGAGACTGTTGGAGTCAGTTGTCGGCTTAGACTTTTCACCCTCCTTGGTGAGTGTGACCGGAATTTCACGGAGGTGGTTCTGGGAGTTGACCTTGGTTCTGGTGAGGCTTTGGCTTCCTCTGTTTTGGTCACTGATGCAATGGACTTGTCTGTCACGACTGGCTCACTTGGAGACCCTGTTGGGTGCCTTTAGGGCAGCTGACTATAATTGGCTGGCCAATTTGAGGCCGGGTCAGACCTTTGTGCATTATTTTATCAAGGGCATTATTGGATTGGACCTTATTCATCGATTGATTACATTGAAGTTGGTCCCCTGTCTGAGGGGTTGGGCATTTTCTGTTCCGTCAGGCCTGGTTCCCTTTGAGCTGTGGACTCCTTTTTTGTCAGGAGACAAGATCCCTTGTGAATTGGCCCACCTCTCCTTTAATACTGTAATGGGGATACCCCGAAGTGAATTCCTCACATTTGTTCTTCGTTCTTGAAAACCAACCAACCTACCTTGACCCTTTGGCGGAGTTTTTCCTGACAGTGCAGTACAAAGAGGATTGGAACGGATGTTTGACATGGAGTCCCTGGGAATATCTGATGAGGATACCTTCTCTGATTATGATCAAGAACAGATGAGACGTTTTAAGGATACTGTGGAGCTCAAGGATGGGAAGTATTACGCGGAGCTTCCCTGGCATTCTGATAAGTTGGCCCGGGTCCCATCCAATCACGCAGTTTCTTTGCGCATCTTGGACCGGGTGGCTTCAAACCTGACTAAAAAGAATATTTATCTGGAATACTTAGAGGTGTTCCGTCAGCAAGAACAGGATGGAATAATTGAAGAGATTTTTGTTCCCCAACACGAATTTGATAAATATGTGTGGATTCCACATCGACCGGTTTTCAGGTCTGACCCAACAGCTACTACCAGAATCAGACCTGTGTTCAATTGCAGTCTGAAGACTGGTGGTGGATTGTCCCTGAACGAGGCAGCTTACTCTGGGGTCAATCTAACTGGAGATATGTTGAAGTTATTATTGTCTTTAAGAACTAACAATTACGTTCTGCTAGCAGACATTCGAAAGGCATTCTTGATGATTCATCTCAAGTTGGAGACTGACAAAAACCGGTTTTGTTTCTTCCTTAAGGATGGGGATCGTCTTCGCTGTTTTCGATATACCACCTTGATATTCGGGTTCACCTCAAGCCCCTTTGTACTGGGGTGTATCCTGAAACTACATGCAGCAAGATACCCACTGGACGCTTGCCGCAGGATGATTGAGGACAGATTTTATGTGGACAACCTTGTAACATCGGAAGCAGATCCAGTGAAGCTGGCGAAATTGTACTCCCCTGGCACGGGGAACGTTTGCAGGAAGGCGGCTTTGTTATTCAGTCCTGCAACTCCAACGATGAGGCTCTCCGAGCCAGGATGAAAGAAGATGGTACACTGAGTGCACATGATGAAGAATGGGAGAAGGTACTGGGTTACTGATACAACCCTCTTTCAGAAGAGATGCACGTGGGCCACGTCAGGTGCGATCCCGATGCGTCAACAAAGAGGGGAGTGCTTTCTGAGTCAGCCAAAATTTTTGACCCCTTATCTCTTTGTCTCCCAGTTACGGTTCGCAGCCGAATACTTAATAGGTCTATGTGGAAGAATGGTTTGGGTTGGGATGATCCTCTCCCTACTGCGGTTTTAAGTGATTGGAGGGAGCTTGCTATTTTGGGGACCTGTCTGGACTGAGTGACTTCCATTTTTATCGAAAGGTTCTCGATGCGCGAGACAGCCTGGAGATATGTACCTCTTTGCGACGCTTCCACGGAGGCATATGGATTTGCCGCTTACATTGTGCAAAATCATCGATCGTCCTTGGTGTTTGCTAAGGCTAAGGTCGCTCCGATGAAAGACAAAAACTCTACCTGTTTTGGAGTTAATGGCTGTTTATCTCGCTTTCAAGTGCCTACCAACAATCCTGGACAACTGTGAAGGGTTTGTTCCAAGTAACTTATGTGTGGCTACTGATGCCCAAGTAGTGTTGTCTTGGCTCTTGTCTCAATCCATGGCCATCAAAAACATTTTTGCTAGAAACCGACTCAAGGACGTCCTGCAAACGAACCTTGGGTTAGAATCCCGTTACGGCCTGAAGACTCTCTTCAAATATGTGGATTCTGCACATAATCCGGCCGATCTGATCACGAGGGGAATGACGTTGAGGAAGTTTCGTTCCAACTTCCAATTTTGGTGTTCTGGTCCTTCTTGGTTGTGTGAGTGAATCATCCAGTGGCCGACACAAGACTTGCCTTGTTTAAGCGAGACGTGCCAGCAGATGGCCCGTACTTCAGTGCACTGTTCTATGGTTCTGGACCAAGAATACCTCTCCGTCATACCCTTTCACAGGTTCTCAGCATTTTCTGGGTTACTGAGAGTTACCTCACTGGTGTTCAAGTTCATAGCCATTCGGCTAGGACAGGAGTGGGATTACAGATCTAAGGCAGCCATTTACCTGATGAGAGTTCTCCAACGACATGAATTCCCTTCAGAGGTTGAGTATTTAATGAAGCCAGCAGGAAGATCTGAACCCGTCAGAGTTTGTGCCCTGGATCTTTTTTTGGAATCGGATGGGTTAATCAGATCAAGAGGAAGAATCGACCGATCTTCATATTTTACCTATGAAATCAAGAACCCTATCCTGATAGGGAAACACCACCCTGTGACCAGACTTATTATTTTGGATTGTCATATAAAGTGTTGTCACATTGGAACTGGATCTACTTTGGCTGAGTTGAGGCGGAGCGGCTACTGGGTCCCTCAAGGAAGACAGGCCGTCAACAAGGTTCTAAAGTCATATGCCAGATGCAAACGATAACAATTCGCGACCAGTACTGTTGAGTGCTGCGGCCAGCTTACCAACTCATCGAGTCGAATTTGAGGTCCCTTACCAGCATACAGGCGTTGATTTCACCGGCCATTTCTGGGTGAATGATGGTAAGCAGGACAAGAAGATGTACCTCTTGTTCACGTGCTTGAATATCAGAGCAATACATATTGAGTTGGTTCCAGACATGAGTGTGCTATCCTTCTTTCAAGCCCTGGTTCCTTCACCAACCAAAGTGGAGTTCCGGAAGTAATCTACAGTGACAATGCTAAGACCTTTCTGGAAGCGGAAGACTTTTAGTCGCCTCTCTGTCTTCCAGGAGTATAAAAGCAAGTATGGTTCTTGTGGGTTAAAACTAAAAACCATCCCTCTGTTTTCACCTTGGTATGGGGGAACATGGGGGGTTGAGAGCGTTGCATTAAAACAGTGAAGGATTGCCTTTTAAGATTCTTGGCAGAGGTAAACTGGATTATTTTACCCTCCCCTGACAGTGGTCTCTGATATCCAGAGATCGGTCAACAACCGACCTCTGACCTATCAGTTGTCTGCTGATAACAATGCTGCTGCTATCACACCCAACATGTTACTTAGGCCCAAAAGTCCGGGGTTGTTGTTGCGATTGAACAAAAATGACATTTCTGCAGTACCAGCCAGTAGAAAAAGGCTCGTGGAAGCAATGGACATCAGGAACCAGTATTTATTAAGGTTCCATGAGTCCTGGTACAAGGAATACCTTCTGGAGCTGGGAAGAAGGGTCCCGGGACACACACGGTTGCGGACAGAGAACCGGCTTCAGAAAGATGATGTGGTCCTGAGTAAAAAGAGTCCTCTGAAACCGCGACCATTTTGGGTCTTGGGGACAATTACAGATCTCATACCCGGTGATGATGGTGTGGTCAGGTCTGCTCGTGTTCGAAAGGGGGGGGTGGTCTCGAAGAGGGACACTCTTTGAAACACCTCTACCCACTGGAACTTTCCCTGACAGCTAACCGTTCTTCTGAGGTACCAACTAGTGGTTCTGTGTCACCCCTGGGAGTGCTTTGATTGCAGAGAGGGACGAGGTTCCATCATGTTCTGCTGCCAACGATGAGGAGCATGTCTGGTTGTGTCCTGTGCAACTCTCCTCAGGGAAATCTGGACATGATCGGGTGTGATTCTTGTGATGAATGGTTCCATTTTCGATGTGTTGGCATTGACGAGGAGCCGCCTAAAAGGCAGAAGTGGTACTGCCCTGAGTGTGCGCCCCAAAGACGACGCAGGGGTAGACCAAGTCTGCTTCCCGCCTAATTGGCAATCAGTTAGCCATTTAGAAATAAGAACTCGCCTGTCTGGGGAGAGACATTGTTGCCCGTTTTTTTTGTTTTTTGTTTTTTTTGTTTTCTCTCTTCTCTTTCTTTTCTACACGTCTTTTTTTGTGTTTTTGCTGTCGGGAAATGTGAAGAAAAGGAAAAGAGGAAGAGAGAAGGGCTTACTTACGGACGGGTTGCTTCAGCCTGGGGGAATTGTGTCCAGCTAAACTGGAACAAATGACCAACTGATATTTATGGTCTTGGTCGGAGGAGGATTGTGGGAAGCAGTTAGCCTCCTTATAAAAAACCCTCCTCTGTATTCTGATAGACCTATTTTCTATCAGCCGACACGTGACTGGTTATTTGTCGTGCTGAAGGATTATTTCTTTTCTGTTACTCGACCTAGTTGGAGCAGGTCGCAAGAGGAGGATTCCTTTTGCAACCCTTACCAGGCTGTCGCTGCTCTCTTCTGGGTTTTCCCTACTTTACTGTGTCGAAAGTTTTTTTTTCCGACACTTTCCCTAAAGATAAAGAATTTATCCGATGTTTGTATTCGTGCAATCAATAGAGATCATTAGATTATTGCTTAAGGTTGACGGACACGCATGTCTTAATTAGTTTTTCTTTTTTTACGAATTGGTCAAACCTTAACTCAAACAAAAACATTGTTTTCAATCGTTATCCCGATTGAATAGAATTTTATTATAAATAATTCTCTTGTAAATGGAATTTTTAAAGCATCCTGAATATTAAAAATAAAGAAAAAAGTGTGCAAGACAATAAGAAATACTACATGCCAAAAAAAAGTGAAGTTTTGTTTTATCGGCTGAAAAATATAGGAAATCCGATCCCATATTTAAAGGAACCCACATACATAACCCGATGTGAGTTGTCCCCCTTCCATTTTCACGATGTCTCTTAATCGTGTTTTCAAATTGATTTTGTGCAAAAACAATTATTTTTTCCCATTTTTGGTGCTGTTAGAACCACCACAAGGTACTTTTATGTAGTCCTGTGAAGTTTTGTTGAAATCGGTTGAAAAATGTAGGAAATCCGATCCAATATATAAACGTTTCAGACACATACACACGCACACACACACACACACACACACAATCTGCGTTTGATAATAAGTAAGATATATATATATATATATATATATATATATATATATATATATATATATATACAAACATGCACACAGATATGCGCACAATACACATTCACAGATGTATATATATATATTATTACTATTAACGTCATTTTTAGACGGTACACCTGGCTTGAAAGGACACACACATACATATCTATAAATAAAAACGTTGT